CCGGGTCTCGAACCCACAGGCTCAGGCAATCCACTCACCTCAGCCTCCCAAAGGCGCGGGATTACAGGCTGAGCCACTGAGCCCGGCTTAGAAGACGTTTCTTAAGATACAGTTTAGTACAGCTGTAGCATTTCTTCATGGCAAAGCCCAGGAAAGTTGAAAGAATATAAGAGGAAAGTTGAAAGAATATAAGAAAGACTCTTGAGTCCAGCACTTTTCTCCTATGTTTACTAAGTTTATTATAGCTGCTCTTTTTTATGCCCTAGAAGCAGTGGGACCAGAGATATGGGGCTGACTTTGAAGTAGCAAGCAGGTCTTTAACTAGTATAACTTTCAACCCAGAGAGAGCTGCCTTGGAGTATTTGAGCAGCAGTCTGTCTTGGTTCATTCTTCCTTGAGAGATATCAGTTACCATTGTGCTCAAGTGGCTCTTCCTTTCACCTTCCTTCCTTTGTGTTCCCTCAGAGCCAGGACTGTCTCCAGTTGGGTCCTCCTGCTGAAGGGGAAGTGGTCCAAGTAAGATGGACAGATGGCCAAATCTATGGAGCCAAGTTTGTGGCCTCCCACCCCATCCAAATGTACCAGGTAGTCAGAAGTTCTTGTTTGGGAGTTGGGAGTACTTAATTCAGTTCTTCTTCCTCTTGGGCTAGAGGTCAGAAATAATGGGCTGGTGCCATTTCAGAGCTAGAGGTCTGCCCTTTATCTAGGGGTCTGCCAAGTGTGGCTTCAGACATGGTAGTCCTTACTTCAGTGTTCTAATGCCTTCCATTGACTGTGCATGGTGAACTATGGAGAGAGTTAGGGATATCCTAGGAAAAATGCCTTTGTTTCCTTGGCAGGTGGAGTTTGAGGATGGCTCACAGCTTGTGGTTAAGAGAGATGACGTGTATACGCTGGATGAAGAGCTTCCCAAGAGAGTCAAGTCTAGACTGGTGAGTGTGTGTTTTCTGTGTGCCCTTGGTTCCTGTCTGGGAGGGAGGGAACAAGGCAAGGATATGTCCCTTTGGGGTTTTTTTTTTGGGAGTGGGGGGTAGTTGGACACAAAGTGATTATTTGGCTTGCTTATTCTTCTATAGTCAGTAGCCTCAGACATGCGCTTCAATGAGATTTTCACAGAGAAAGAGGTTAAGCAAGAAAAGAAACGGCAACGAGTCATTAACTCAAGATACCGGGAAGATTATATTGAACCTGCACTATACCGGGCCATCATGGAGTAAGTGCATCCAGGGTCCAAGAGATTCCCAGCCATCAAGGCAAGAAAACTCTGGGGTTCCACAGCACAGAAGATACTTGGAACTCTGAAGTCTCCAAAAGTGAAGTTGTAAAAAGAAAAGGAATGAAATAACCGACCCCATCATCTTCTCACCCCACTCCCATCGCATTCCGCTGTAATGGAAGGACAAGCTGTGTCTGGACACATGGCAGCAGTCACCACTGATCTCCAGCCGAGGAGCTGAGCACTGGAATGCTGTGGCTGTACTGACAACTGTGCTGGCTGGACTGGTTGCCCATTTCTGGCCTGGGACTTAGCTTCCTAATGATCACCTGCACCGACTAGGCAGAGGTGCTGGTGCTTGTCCCCATGCCCTCTTTTGTATTTATGTGTATGTGTGGGTGTGTGTGTGAGTGTGTGTGTGTGTGTGTGTGTGTGTGTGTGTGTGTGTGTGTATGTTTGGTTTGGACCAACTTCTGCCAGCCCCTGGCCTTTACTTTTCTTCCTTGCCTATGCAGGGCAAACAAAATGTGAAATTCTGCCCTCAGCTGAGCTGGGTAAGGTCCCCCAGGAGTTGGCTGGAGATAGGTGTGGCATCTGTCCAGGCCTGGAACAACCTCAAGAGAGTGCTGGCAAAGCTGCTGTGTTGAGAAGCTAAGGAGCTGATGCCACCTCTTTGTCTTCCCTTGATGGAGAACACAGGGATAACACGGGTGTGTGCCCACAACACTCTAGGCACAGAACCCCTGTAGCACAGTATTAGAGAATTTCCCTGAAGGGAAAATTTTAATGATGGAAGCAGGCAGAGCCTGGTGGGTGATTCTGTCAACAGAAAATTGCAATCATGCAGGGGCTGGGAGGGTTAGGATGAAATAATGGGCCACTGGAGGTCC